AGGTTCAATTCCGGTCAAGGGCATGTATTATACCTTGGTTGCAGGCACATCCCCAGTAGGGGATGTGCAAGAGGCAGCTGATTGATGATTCTCTCTCGTTGATATTTCTAACTCTCTATCCCTCTCTCTTCCTCTCTGTAAAAAATCAATAAAATATATTTTAAAAAATTTTTTTCAAGGAAAACTTATTTATCACTCAGATAACTGAGTTTACTGGTTTTTTACATACTTTTTCCCTCCCCTTATAGTGGAGGTTTACATTCTTTATTATATGCCTTCATTAATCACTTAGTCCCTAGTAATTTATAAGCTTACTAGAAGCCCAGTGCATGGATTCGTGCACCAGTGGGGTCCCTCAGCCTGGCCTGTGGGAATCAGGCTGAAATTGGCTCTCTGACCTCCCTGAAGGGGTCCCAGATTGCGAGAGGGTCAGGCCAGGCCAAGGGACCCCACTGGTACAGGATCGGGGTTGGGAGAGACTGTGGGAGGGCTCCAGGGTGTGTCTGGCCCATCTCAGCCAGACCCCAGAAGCAAGCTAATCTTCCAATTTGAGTGTCTGCCCCCTGGTGTGCATCATAGCAACCAGTTTAATTAATAGTTGAACACAGCATATTAGGCTTTTATTATATAGCATATGTTATTTTTATTGGTTTTATTCATGACTAGGGAAATATTGATATATGCCCCCTATATTTTTGACGTCTATTCCCTTATCTCTTTTTTTTTATTAAGACATAATTAACATATACCAGTTTCAGGTGTACAACATAATGGTTTGATATTTGTATGTTACAAAATGATCACCCATGGCCAGGACCGGTTTGGCTCAATGGATAGAGCGTCAGCTTGGGGACTGAAAGGTCCCGGGTTCGATTCCAGTCAAGGGCATGTACCTTGGCTGTGGGCATATCCCCAGTAGGGGGTGTGCAAGAGGCAGCTGATCGATGACTCTCTCTCATCGATGTTTCTGACTCTCTATCTCTCTCCCTTCCTCTCTGTACAAAATCAACAAAATATATTTTTTTTTAAAAAAGAATAATTTAAAAAAAAAATGATCACCCATAAGTGTAGTTAATATCCATCACCACACATAGGTACAATTTTTGTTGTGATGAGAACTTTTACAATCTCTTAGCAACTTTCAGATATACAATGCAGTATTATTATTAACTATGCTGTACATTATTCACCATGCTATACATTACATCCCCGTGACTTATTTTATAAGTAGAAGATGTACCTTTTGATCACCTTCACCCATTTGGCCACCTTTGTCTTTCATGATCACATATTGCACTTGATTCCACCTCACAAAGTACTTTTCAGACTTTTACTGTTTCCCTGGTTCAGTGCCCTGACCTGTTGCTTTCCCTGCTCCTCCCCTTTGAAACATCCGTCTTAGAAACATTGCCAAACATCTAAGCTCCAGCTTTCTGATTCTTCCCTCCATAGCTTCTCCTCCCCAGGCTCAGTAGAAGGGTAACTTGTCATCATTCACAATGGCCATTGTAACAAAATTGTACTGAAAAATGTTGGAGCGAGGGGAGCTTCATCACTGTGTAGAATAGGGGTGTCGAACTCAATCAGAGAAGGGGCCAAAATCTAAAATCCAGCCTAAATCGCGGGCCGAATGGTTTACTGAACAGTCATAAACTGTCATTGTGATGGAAACGCAGCGGAGTGCAGTGATGACAGCACGGTGCGGGCCACATTGCAAGGCCTGGCGGGACGGATTTGGCCCGCGGGCCTTGTGTTTGACACATGTGGTGTAGAATCACTGCTCTTTCAGTTACCAGGTAAAGTATAGAGAGACATTCCTGACCTTAATCCATCCTACCCTCACCTCACCCTCATAACGAAGACCTTCATTTTTTAATCAGCAAAAAAGATCCTGAAAATAGTTTTTAAACTCTGATTGAATCTGGTGAGCCTTTTCAGAGAATCACTCATTTTCTGTTGCCAAGAACTCTCACATCAAAGTACTTGATGTGAAATACTATGTGCTTATTACTGAGAAGACTATTAGAATTTTAACTGAGGTCCTAAGTTGAGAATGAGTGATTAGCCTATAGCCAAAGTATTCCCTCACCCACCCATCCCAAACTAACCATATGCATCATATACTCCAATACAGTACATTCACAGAATCCAGAAGCTTGTAAAAAAGCACAGGTGTTCCCTTATATCAAAGGTCAGCAAAGTTTCTCTGAAGTGTCAGATAGTGTCTCCTTCTCTTTGCCCTTACTGATCTTCTAGGCCCATCCAGCTATGGAGCCTCCTCCCCTCACCTGATCTGGGATGGCCATGTGAGGGTCCTGCAGCGTGTCTGATCCCACACATGCTCATATGACACTTCCTCACCACGCTGGACACACACATCCTCCTGCCACACAACTGAGAAATGCTTCTTCCCAATTAAGAAAATCCTTTAGCCTTCCCTTCTTAGGCTTTATACTCTCAGTGGCTGGTTCCATAGTAACATAGGAGATAGCTAGGAGATACCTATTGGTGACCAAGAGTCAGCTACCTGAGCTCAGTGTCCCCAAAATGAAGACATGATTTTTATCAAGCTAAATTTACTAGAACCCATGTTCATGATGTAAATTTCAAAAACATACAGGGATGATACGAAAATAAAAGCATGTCAACCGTTGCCATTGATATACTATATAATACACACACACACACACACACCCTCTAATTTTTTAAGTTAGGGGTTTTGCTTATTTATTTTATTTTTTAATTCTGTTAAATTCAGATCAATAGACATCTGCAAAGGAAATTTTTGTCTCCTATGGAGTCTGAAGTTGAGGTTTAGGGTTTATCCAGTCAGCAGAGCCCTTTTAGAGTAACCTGGAGGTTTCTTTGGGCCACAATTAAATACATCAATCGCTGTAGATTTAACTAGTCTGAACTATTCACTTACATCTGAAAGGGCCATTTGCTAATAGATAGTTTTTAGTTAACAATTGAATGAAAAATGTTGGGTCCAGTTCCATCTAGTTTTCCCATATAGCCATTACTCATAGTTTTTTGTATGTGTGCCTCTGTGTATGTGTTGTAGTTTTATTCATTCACCCAAGAATTGCTTGGTACCTATTTTAGGTTCTGAGGATCCTGAACTAGAGGAGGCCATGTATTCAGAAACTGGTAAAGGAGAAAGTCATCTAAACAACATCTAAGCAAAATCTGTAGTATGTTCTATTGTGATGGGTGATTTAATAGGAATAGGAAGTGAGTAATTTGGGAGTAGCTAAGAAAGTAACACTGACTGTCTGAAGAAGTAACGAAGTTTAGATGAGGAAAGAATTACCCATTCTGCCAAAACTGGTGTGGCTCAGTGGTTAGAGCGTTGGCCTGCAGACTGAAAGGTCCCAGGTTTGATTCTGGTCAAGGGCATGTACCTTGATTGTGGGCACATTTCATTTCCAGTACGGGTTGTGTAAGAGGCAGCTGATCAATGATTCTCTCTCATGATGTTTCTAACTCTCTATCCCTCTCTCTTCCTCTCTGTGAAAAATCAATAAAAATATATTTTAAAAAACGTTTAATAATAATAATAAATAAAAAAGAATTACCCATTCCACTGCTGCACAGTGAAAAGTGCTAGATTTGGGGCCAAACACATCTTTTTACTGGCCGTGGGGAAGTTACTTTACTACCCTGAGCCTCAGCTTTCTCATCTGTAAAGTGAGAAAGTAGAGTTCATAATACTCACTTTGAGCTCTCTACATGCGTATCAACAAGTAGCTTTCTTCCCTTCTAGGGCCCTTTCCACTGGAGGCCATGTGTGGCCAGGCAGCATGCTGTGGGCTATGGGATGGAAGGGGCAAAGAAGAGATCAGCTTTGTGGGGTTGCGTGGGGACAGGGCTCCCATTCTGAATGAGAGCCAGGAAAAAGCACACCTGGGTCAACCATTGTCCTGCTCCCCCTGGGAGCTCGTTAGGACAATAGATGGTGTATCTTTTCCCAGCAAAGCCTTTGCATATTTTACTGTCCTTCCAAGGGGGAGGGACCTGGTCAGATTACATACTTCTTCAGGCTGCTTTTTACTCTAAGTTTCTAAACTGAACCAATTCTAGGATTCCTGGGGGCTTGCTCTATTTCCCAAGTCACTGGGGGGAAAAATTTAAACTTTACACTATTAAGATATCTCAGATTTGTTCCCAATAGACATGCAAAAAGTGGATGTTTATGAATTACATGTACTTTTTAAATATTTATTTTATTGATTTTTTACAGAGAGGAAGGGAGAGGGATAGAGAGTTAGAAATGTCAATGAGAGAGAAACATCATTCAGCTGCCTCTTTCACAACCCCCTACTGGGGATGTGCCTGCAACCAAGGTGCATGCCCTTGACCCGAATTGAAGCTGGGACCTTTCATTCCACATGCCAACGCTCTATCCACTGAGCCAAACCAAGTCATGGCTATATGTGCTTATGAATACCGCATTTGGAGGGGATGCTTTCCATTTTAATGAAATGATATATATATTTTTTTCAGTTACTGATAAGTGGACACTTTCCTAAAAGAGCCTTAACCCATCTAAGTGATAGGCACACTTTGGAGTATTGAAACAAAGCATAATTAATTACCCTTTGTGACTTGTTGTGAGTTTCAACCGTAGAGACACATCAAGCAAGGGAGAGCTCTGCTATCCCATTTGAGTCTACCAGTGGTCCGTGGCTGTTCCAGCCAGTAGCCCTCAGTCTATGCCTTTTTGATATTTTGTCTGCAAAGTCATTTAGGTGTAATGGAAGATGCAGGTGTTAACTCACTTGCCAGATGCCACAGCAGGAAAGAAGAGATTGAACCCCCCGCCCTCCTCTCTCTGACCCCAAGCCTGCTGACGGGATCGTTAGGTTTCCTGGCAGAGGGGTCATTACCAAATGGGAAATCCACTGAAAACAGCCCTATCCCAAGAGGTAGCGCTGCTGGCTCGGTTACTGCAGAGAAGTGATGGAGCACCAAAGCGCGTGTCCCTTTGTCTCTTCCAGGGGAGAAGCCCTACAAGTGCACCTGGGAGGGCTGCACCTGGAAGTTCGCTCGCTCGGATGAACTGACCAGGCATTACCGCAAACACACGGGCGTGAAGCCCTTCAAGTGCGCGGACTGCGACCGCAGCTTCTCTCGGTCAGACCACTTGGCGCTGCACCGCCGGAGGCACATGCTGGTGTGAGGAAGGCCGCCCGTCCAGCTGAGCGTAAGAGCTGGCTCTCTTAGCGGCACCCGGTTCAGCAGGGCTGACTCCCCTCCACAGTGTTCACGCAAAAGGGCATATCACCATCCCACACGAGGTCTGAAAACCAGAGCAGGAACGAGAAGGAACACACTTCTCCTTTCGGTCCGCAGGTAACCCCCCATCGCGACTCCACGAGACCCGTCTCCACGCCGGCCTGGGAGATGATGGGTGACACAGATGCTGGAGAGGCGGGCATCGGTGTCCGTGCTGTGTACTCTGCCACTGAACGGTGTTTGTAGCTTGTCCACTTTCCGAGCTGCCAGACTCATTTGGTTATGGACCCTTTTAAAGGTCATCTGCCACAGATGGATGGCGAGAGCGGAGACCTTTCCCGCTGGGGATGATCCTCCCGTCCATCCCACCCCCTAACCTCTTTTTACAGGAATTTCAGTTACCATCTGAGTGAGACAGAACCCCGGTCCAATCTGTTACCGGCCAGCAGCACCCACGTAGACAAGAAGAAGCTGTTGGAGAGGTTCCATCCCCTGAAAATAAAGGGGGCACTCAGGCGGCCCTTGGCAGTAGCGATGGCTGCAGCTAGATAGCACCCGCGCCTTGTCATCATGCCATACCCTGAAGAAAACCAACATTGAGTCTTTCATGTGTTCGTTGTTGATTGGTTTTGTTTTTTGTTTTTTGTTTGTTTTGTTTTGGTTCTGTTTTGTTCATCTGTCCGCGCAGAGGGGCGGCGACATTTCAGTCGGAGCCCGGTCCCGGGTCTGCCCTGGCATGGACTGGCCCAGGGCTGTTCTGTGGTTGAATAGGAAGAGCCTGTCTAAAAAACTTACTGCCCCACTTCAAATTGCAGTGTTCTGTCACCCAGGCATCATCTCTTCCTGCCCCTAGGATTTGATTACAAGGAATCAGGGGAGGAGGGGAAAAAAAACTTTCTTAGACACACTGGCACCAAGGTAAGAAGAGGTGGGGCCGCCCAGGCAAAGTCAGTGAACATGAAAAATCAGACAAAGCAGAGATGGAAATAATGCGCCTCTTGAGGAGAAAAGCAATAACGAATAAAAGGACTTTCCTACAATAACTTCACTGAGGACTCACATTACCAATTTTCATACTTAACTAAAGGGAATTGTAAAAAACACCCCAGCATTTTAGAGGTCTTGGTTTCATTTCCAGCACTGAGGTAATCTTTCTGCTGTTTGTTGTCCTTGCTAGGTTGACTACCACAATTAAAGATTATGCTCCCCTTTTCTTGTTTGTAAACGGCTATTTGGTGAGTAGGCCAGGGAGGCATAGCAGGGAATTAACTCTTGGGTTAATGGGTCGGCTCTCCTTGGAACAGAGTCAGTGGCGAGGGTGTGCCTCCCCCCTCCCGCCCCCCAGGAAAGCCTGACATGGTGCTCCTTTCCTCACTTGGAGAACCGAGGATACGCGACTCTCCAATGGGTTCTTTCTATACAAACTTCTTTTCCTACACTGTGTCAGGGCCCGATGGTTCTGCATTGGCATCTGTTGGGGATGTTGAAGCCACTTGTCCTGTGCTGAGGGTGAGAGGAAATTACAGTCCTGTCAACCCCCTAAAATTATGAGCCTTTTTGGCATCTAGCAAAGTATACAGTAAACAAAGCAATACATTACCAACAAGCATTCTTTCAGAAAAATTATCATATCTCCCCCCCCCCCCCCAAACCCCACTAAAAAGCTGGGGTATTTTTTTTCAGCTTTATGTGGCTAAGGGGGCTTGGTGAGGTTTTTAGTTATTATTGTTGTTAAGATTTTTTATAGCTTAGATACAGATGTTGCCAGCATATAGACTTTTGCAATATATTTTCATTAAAAGCACTTGATTTTGGGAATTGCACAAATTAACCTCACAATGTTACTAGCTCATTTTTCAATGTTTGAACATTCTGAAATAATGTCCAGTTGCAGAATTATCCTTTTTTAGGGTTGTCTTCTAATTCAGATAATCTTATTCTGATGAAGCAAGGATTATAGACATTGAAACAAAGACAATTTTGTGTTGGATGGTATTAAAAGGAATTATTTTTTAATGTTGAAGCAACAGCATAATGATTTTCAGGTCAAATTCTGTCTTTAGAAATATGTGCTCTGCATTTTCTACCAGATCTTAAAAATTCATCAGGCAATTTCCCTCCAACAAGGGCTGCAATTCTATTGACAAATATCTTCTTTAGCTTACACGATTACATACCAAGCACTGGGATCTTTTTTTTTTTTTTTTTTTTTTTTTTTTACCAACTGGAAAGTTTTTTATCTGTACTGTATGCAACTGCTACTTCTCATTGCCTGTGACCACGTGGAATAGAAAAAGGCTGCTTGATGCATGCCAGCATTGGTTATTGGTCAGCAGCAAAGAGCACAGCATGGGGAACCCTCTCAGCTGATCCCAGAACCTAGTCGGCAGGTCGTAGGTGAATCACTCAGGTGCTGTGTGGGCTTCATTTCATTCTGCCTGCTCTCATAAGAAGGCCAGTCCTGCTCTCTGCTAAGAGATGTCTTGAGAGTGTTACAGGTAGGAATGGTTTTCAGAATTCATGAAACTGACAGGCGGTGGGAGCTTCCTGAGTGGCAGCTTGATTTAAATTTAGCCCAGAACTAAATGAGCTGATCCTCTGAAAGAACATAGGAAAGATTCAGGAAAGTGTGTTTTCCTCCTCCTCCTCTGAAAGTGGGAACCAGACTGGGACAGTAAGCTCACTGATAAAACCCGTCAGTGTTAACACCATTCCCCCTCTGATGTGTCTGAACTTCTAAGGAGGAATCCAAGCACAAGTAGTGAATGAGTTGCTGTTTCTCATCCCAGGGCTGAAACTTACTTGAGTTTTTTATAGATGTTCCCCCAATGGAAAGGAAAGTGGTTTGGGAGAGAAGGAACTGGCTTTTTAAGTAGGAATATCTTTAGGCAAAGAACAGCCCCCTCCAGGTAGTTTTATGTCTATTCTAGCCTCTTTTGAAAAGCACAGTAGATAATGAATAGAAAATAAGTTGAATCCGAAGGATTCATCAGATGTTCCCTCACTAGAAGCGTTCTTTGGTCTGAAATTTGAAGCTGTTCCGCCAGTGTGCAGTTGGACATGTGTGCATGATTGGGAACTCGCACACAGGTACCCACAGTGATGGCCTGAGAAGCTACGGGGACCGGACTATCTCTCTGCATTGTGGAGATTGAGTTCAAGGGAGTTCACATGATGTGAAAAGCGCTAAGGTTCAGGCTTTGAGGTTTAAATAGATTTCCTCTTCATGTTCTGATCTTAGGTTGTCAGAAAGAGATTCACACTTTTCATCCTCCTCTGGTCCCATCCTATCAACTGTGTGCAGACTCAGAGAAGCCTGCCGGATAACTTACATTCTCTTATGGCATTTAGACTGAAATTCCTCATGACTTGACCGTAAAGATCATACTATTGCCTGGCGTTACTTTTACAAAGCAGTATTAGACATTCATTTCCAAAAAGCAGTTGAGTAACAGTAACATAAACCACATTGGGGGGAAAAGAGCACTTTTTTTTTTTTCACTTAATAGATTAAGTGGGAAATAGGAAGAGGATTATTAGGGGAGGAGGAAATCTTACAAAAAGCTACAGTGTTTACAATGCCAGTTCTAGATTAGAAAGGCCATTCTCAGGATGGTTGGCATGTTGAAAAGCTCATACAAAGCTGTGTTCATTTTTATACAGCCTTTTTAAACTTCTAATTGCCATTTGTGTTCCAAACCTAAGTATAATTTCTACATTAATGGAATCAGTTCATTAGAATGACAATATGTATATGGATAAAGATGCAGTATTCCTATTCTGTACTTTATTTATTATACTTACCAAAGCAACAATTGAATAAACCTGATGAGGTGAGGCCTTCAAATGTACTAATACGCCTTTGTTATGTTGTTATGACTGCTTAGAAATGTGGCCAGAATGTTGTTGTGAAGGTGACTTAGTATTGATAATAAGTGTGGACAGAATTCAGAAGTATTAAGAATACCAGCATGCATGATACATTGAGTTATGACCTTCATGTGAGGGACTGGACATGACATGTCTTTTATGCATCATAATAGGCCTAGAAAGCCTTAATGCTCATAGTCCATAATCCAGTCTCAGATTTTGCTCTTTACTAATGCCTATAGGTTTTGTGAGTAAATGTATTCTACAACTTCACTGACCAAATCTCTTTCTTCAGTTATTCTGAGGTGGTGTATCTCATTTAAAAATACACATATTTTTTGCTTTGATTTGGTTTTGTTTAAAAACAAGGTTTGCTGTTATGTCTTCCATATTACATTTCTACTTTTTCCCACACTGCCATCTACTTACCTGCACAGGCACCACTGATACATGCAGACCCGTATACACACCTGTATATGCAGCAGCCAGTGGGCTCATAAGTCTCAACAGAAAACTTTTTTTAAAAGAATGAATTTGTAATAATCCATACTGTCTACAAATGTAAGTTATTTACCTTAGTGGGGAATCAGCTTACAATGCTATATATGACTTTGCCTGCATTTTATAGTTAAGAGGTGTACATAAAAAAATTTTAAATGCTATATTTTCACAGTTTCATTATAGAGTAATGTCTGTTTAGCAACCCATGTCCATTGGTACTTTTAAGTGTGCTAAATACTGTGCAATTACAATAGTAATTCAGATTTTCATAAGAAAATGAAATTGAGGATACTGCATCTTTAAAAAAAAATAGAGTTGAAGATATTTTGCTGTATTCGTAACATATGTGATAGTGGAAAAAGTATTTTCAAACACAAATTTTACAGGGGTTGTAAATAGTTTGATGAAGTATGTTGGGGAAAAGAGCTTCTAGTTTTCATCACAATAAAAAAAAAGAAAACTTGTTCAGATATGCCTTGTATATCTTACACACAATTAGCGATATTGCCATGGGAACTCTGTTCCATGTTCTCACAGCACATCCCTTGTGCTCTGACAAATGGAGTGGCCACTTGTCTCAATTCAGCCAGGATGATTTAAAACACGTTGAACTCATTTTAAGTCACAAACAACTGATTCCAAACTCAAAATGTCTGTACCTGAAAAGGGGGAAACAGCGGCATAGCTTTCTGCTTGTGCTAAAGAGAAGCAGCTAGCCATTGTTCTATTTCCTCAGTTATCTTCCTCCTCAACCAAGTAGTTCTTGATAAAATGAAAACTATACAGGTGTTGGTGTTTATTCTTGTTTAATTCCAGAGGGTATACTTTTAGAAGTAGCTACATCTTGACAAGATGAAGTGTTAGGGTTATGGCCACATGTTAAATGAATCTATACTGGCAATAGGAATAAGCTAATACCCATTTTCCCAAGTGGTTAAAAGCTGAAAGTGCCTGTCAAACATTATGACCAATGAGATATTCACATACTTTTACATAGCAATAATTCTTCTTCTGACTGGGTTTTTCTTCTACATTTTGGAAACGCATATATATATATATACACAATAATTTGGATCTGTTCACATACCCACAAAAATTTTCTCGTGTGTCTTCTCAAATATACCCAATCTTGTTTATGTTGGCATTTCTTAATTCAGTCTTACAGAACGTCAGCATGCAAACCTGAATATTAAAATTATCTTCAGCCGGGACCAGTTTGGCTCAATGGATAGAGCGTCGGCTTGGGGACTGAAGGGCCCTGGGTTCGATTCTGGTCAAGGGCATGTACCTTGGTTGCGGGCATATCCCCAGTAGGGGGTGTGCAAGAGGCAGCTGATCTATGACTCTCTCTCATTGATGTTTCTAACTCTCTATCTCTCTCACTTCCTCTCTGTACAAAAATCAATAAAATATAAATTAAAAAATAAATAAATAAAATAAAATTATCTTCAACATACACTATGGCATATGGCAGTTATAATTTTCAGATAAAAACTTCACTGTGATTTGCCCCAAACTTAGGAAGCACTGAAAACAAAAGTCAATTTATTTAGAGCAAAACACTAGAGATATTTGTTTGCCTTACTTTATCTGCTACTATCAAATGCACAAATCCATCTTTATTTCCCTTTTCCATATTTTCTGTTCTCATCATTTTGAATATTGAATATTGACACAATTTTCTATCCCCAAAAATGTCTACTGAGTATAACTGACATCAAGTAAGCTAAGGTTTGCGGTCAGTCCTGGAAATATCCAGATTTACATTTAGAACCTCACAACTTTAAGCTATCATTGTTTTACTGCTAAAAGTGGAGTCATGAATGGAAATATACAATGAAATTATATGGGTAAACAAGAGCCCTGGAAATTCTCCAGCCCTGCCATCTCAGCACGAATCCACCCAAACAAGCTATTGAGGGCTATCAGTAAAATTATACTCTTTTAGAGCCGAACATTTGGTAAGAGCAATTTAAAAAGCATGGCGGTAATGAAAGCATGGGGACTATAGACACTGAAGGCGACCCGATGCCCAGTATTCTCCAGAACCAGACCCCAGGCCTAGAGAGCCATCTACTGCTTCCTCCTCCAGGTTTCAGAGAGAAAGAAAGAAGCCCAGAGAAGGTGGGAAATCACCAATTAAGTGTCAAAGGAAAGCCTTAACCTACTGAAGTCAAGTCTTCTGACTGGGCTACTTCCTGGAAATTGTCTGAAAGTACTAACAGAAAGTGAAAGGTCAAAAGGTCAGCAAGCTATGAAACAACAGCTATTCTTTTTTTTCTTTTTTTTTAATATATTTTATTGATTTTTTACACAGAGGAAGGGAGAGAGATAGAGAGCTAGAATGTCGATGAGAGAGAAACATCGACCAGCTGCCCCTTGCACACCCGCTACTGGGGATGTGCCCGCAACCAAGGTACATGCCCTTGGCCTGAATGGAACCTGTGACCTTTCAGTCCACAGACCGATGCTCTACCCCTGAGCCAAACCGGTTTCGGCAACAACAGCTATTCTTTATTAAAGATTTACTATGTGCCAAGCCCTGTACTAGCTAATTTTTAAGACACATTACCTCTCATCTGTACAATTTTTATGGATGGTAAACTGAGGCACGGAGCGGGGCTGTGTGGTCCTCAAACACAGAAAACACAAATGGCAAAATGGGGATGTGAAGCAACCTATCTCAGGCTCTGAAGCCCATGTTCTTTCCATCACAGCACCCAGCACCTGTGCACCCAGCAGCCAACTTCCCATATCTAACTCTTAAGTAGTTTTTATTATGAATGCATAGTTATTCTATTTTCCAAGTAAGATACAGGGACATGCTATAACATGTTGTGACAGTGGAACAGAATATTTGAAATCTGTCTTCTCCTGAAGGGTCACTATATGCAGATTGCAATAACCAGATGTCTCCCTGGATTTGTCAGTGTCCTCCTATCACCACTCTCCTAAATGTTTGGCCTGAAGATCCAAAATCATCAAAACTCTTCCCAACTTTGTAGCATTTTAGCCAGAGTGGATTTTTACCATTCTGTGCATTTCTGTAGATCTACTAAAAGCCTTTCCACCTCTACAGCCCTGCTAAAGAGAGGCTGCTTAAGGGGCATTTGGGATGTTGACCTCCATGGAGCTAGTTGTTAATAACAGCCCATTCCTAGTAGTTGTTAATAGGGTGGCAATCATAAACATTCAGGTGATGAGCAAGGAGAGATGCAGACCATTCTTTTTCGTATTTCTCACCTGACAGCACCGCCTGGGAATGTCTTACATAATCGTAGGAATAATTTGTTTATCGTATTGTTAGTTTAATTGAAATTTTTGTGAGAAGCTGTCCAACATTTGAGAAATGAAATCCCCTCCTCCTTTTCTGTGTATCACAAGGTCTCTGACAGTATTGATTCATAGAAGTACTAATGGTCTTAAAAAACATTAAGAGAATGTCATTTCTCGTGGTGTTTCTTTTTCTGAAAATGAATCTCCTGAATTATGATCTTTCTCCCCGTTACTTGGCTGAGAGAAGAGATAAACCTGCATAAACAAATTCCCTCCTGTGCTGAAAGCCAGTGTTTGGTGTGCACACCTCACTCAGAGAGGGGCTCTCTTCCCAGTTAAATGGGTTTCACAGCAATAATTTCTCAACAACAAAACCACACCTTTAAGTGAGTTGAAAAGAGATGAATAGTGGAAATAGTACTTTTTTCATTCTAGACTTCATCTCTAGAAATGTAAAATGCTGAGACAAGAGAGTCTGCTCTTTGTGTAAAGCAAGAACCAATGACTCTATGTGTGTGTGAATTATTATATCTTGCTTTTTCCAAAGCAAGCTTACCAAGACTTTTATGAGATTGATTTTTTTGGTTGAGAAATGAGGGTGAATGGAAGAGTAGCATTTGGATCAAACTCTACTTCTAAAAGTATCCAGGTAATCAAAAAGTAAGATACTTTGAGGACATATCAATGTCTTTCCTTTCCGCTAATTTCATGCTCCAAAGATACTGCATAAAACATTATAGAAAATGCTTTTGCCCTACTTGTGCTTCTAGTTTTCCCGTAGCAGAATTTTGTAATTACATCCAGACTATAGTATCTATTTTGTTCCTTAAACTTTATTACATTGGATGGGTATTGTTGAACTGGGGCACTGGTGCCTATATTCAAGGCTCTTTCCTATCAACTTGTCTGTCCACAATTTGTTGTGTTTGAATGTTCATTTTTTAAAATCACCATCCCTCTCTCACCCCCGAAAATGGTGGCTGTATTGTTATGTTCATGTCTGTGGGACACATTGCATCACATGGCAAACCAACTCTGTGTGGAAATGAGATAACTACTTACACAACCAGCTTGAAAACATCGTCTTATGTATTATGTCATCCTGCATCATAATGCAATTATGTGTATCATAACATGTTCATTTACAAAAAAAAAAGAGAGAGAAACCAGCAAATTCACGTTTGTCCATAGAAGAATGTACTCAGAACGTTGTGTGTTGTGAAATGATGAGAACAAACCACTTTTAAGATACCCACCTGCCACTTAAAATGACTTAGTTATAATTAGTAGTAGTCTAGACGTTGCTTTTGGTGTGTGGGGGGCTTGGGGGAGTCATATTCTTTTGAATAAATCAGTCGTATTTGAAAAAAGAAATATATGGGATTAAAGAAAAATATCATCTTTGGCCAAATCCAGCAGGCATCTTTTTCCTTTTCCTTAACACTTAGCTCATTATACATGGTGATTGGATTACAGGATCTATCTGTGTAAAAAACAAAACAAACATCCTTTAAGCTACAAAACAGTTGTTCTAGGCATGAAAACCCTGAACAGCAAGTGGAATAGATGTGCTGCATCTGATTGACGTGTCGGGTATAATTTACAAAAGCCTCTTGGGTCTCTAACCTCAGCCAGTTTGAGTGCCCAGGGAGGTCCTACTCACCAGAGGATAAACGCCCCCAATGATGCTGGCAAGCAAGTGTGTTCATTTTCAAATCTTCATTTGGTTTTCCATTCAGAGTTTTAACTACAAATGAATTTATTTCTCCGGCTTATCTACAGATCTAATTTCCCAATAGTTTTCTCTGCATTTATATACTCTGTAGTGTTTAGGCAGACTGTTATAAGTTTATTAATATTATGTAAGTGTTGTTCTTGTATTTATGTATAGTGTATGTATTGTAAATATACTCAGAGCTTTTTTCCTTTTACTGTAAAATGGTGATTTTTTTTGGCCCTATGATAATGTAATCTCCTAATGAGATTCTCTCAGAGGATGATTATTCCAGTCTATTCTCAGAGATTTAAATGAACAAGTGTTATTGTTTTTAATGGTGTCTCAGACATATTCTGTTGGTGCATTGCTTTTCTGTATTCAACTTTCCTATGAATTGAGCTGTGAACTGAAATAGAGTTTAAACCTTTAACTGTATGCATTTGTATAATTATCTGAATGAAGGCATGAAGGTTAAATAAAGCATTTTGTATGGAACAAAACTCCCTAATTATTACTAAGGCTGACTCAGACACTTTTGAAATCATACTTATTAACCATTCTAATGAAACCTTTGTTATGAAAAGTCTGACCATTTCTCTCTAGTAATGTAAAACATAGAACGAGATAGACTCTACATTAAAAAATAAACTGGGTTTTTATTTCATAACAGCCAGAACCTGAAGAGGGATTCCTAACAATATTTTAGAGAATGTAAAACTAAAAAAAGTCCAGAAGTATGAGGTGGTATAAAAATACATTTTTCATGAACTAAAATTGAA